CTGGTATCCGTCTGTGATCTTTGCAAAGGCAAGATGCAGCTGGTAGCGGACCTGCTGCTGCTGTCCAGCGAGGCGCGACCAGTGCTCTTCGAGGGTCCTGCCTGTGCAGGCGCCGAGTCCTTTGAACAGTGCCGGGACACCATCATCGCGCGCACCAAGGGGCTCTCCATCCTCACCCACGACGTCCAGAGCCAGCTCAACATGGGCCGCTTCGGAGAGGCGGGGGACAGCCTGGCGGAGCTGGGCGACCTTGTGGTGTCGCTAACCGAGTGCTCTGCGCACGCCGCCTACCTGGCGGCGGTGGCTACGCCTGGTGCACAACCTGCACAGCCGGGCCTGGTGGACCGCTACCGAGTGACCCGCTGCCGGCACGAGGTGGAGCAGGGCTGCGCCATGCTGCGGGCCACTCCACTGGCCGACATGACCCCGCAGCTGCTTCTGGAGGTGTCGCAGGGCCTGTCGCGCAACCTCAAGTTCCTGACGGATGCGTGCGCCCTGGCAAGTGACAAGTCGCGGGACCGCTTTTCGCGCGAGCAATTCAAGCTGGGCGTCAAGTGCATGAGCACGTGTGCGTCAGCGCTGCTGGCCTGTGTGCGCGAGGTGAAGGCTGCGCCCAGCGAGCTGGCGCGAAGCCGCTGCGCGCTCTTCAGCGGGCCGCTGGTGCAGGCTGTGGGTGCGCTGGTGGGCTTCGCCACCGAGCCGCAGTTCCTGGGCCGAGCGGCCACTGTTAGCGCCGAGGGCAAGGCGGTGCAGACCGCCATCCTGGGCGGCGCCATGAGCGTGGTGTCGGCCTGTGTGCTGCTGACCCAGTGCCTCAGGGATCTGGCGCAGCACCCGGATGGGGGCGCCAAGACGTCAGACCACAGGGAGAGGCTGAGGAGCTCGGCCTGCGCCGTGTCTGAAGGCTGCACCCTGCTATCTCAGGCTTTAAGGGAGAGGTCTTCGCCCAGGACTTTACCGCCAGTGAATTCCAATTCTGTGAATTAGCACCCCCTACCAACCTCTTATTCCACCCCCAGGCCAAGGAAAGACACTTGTTCTCTGCCCCTCTCCATTTATACCAAAGAAATTACAGGTGAACCGCACCCTGTGCCCAGATGTTCAGTGCTCAAGAGGAATCCTGGGAAAGGCAGGCCGGGGGTGCCTGGCCCACGCCACACTGAGTGGGAGCAGAAGAGAGTGGGCGATGGTTGCAGTTACTGCTCACCCCAGCCCAGCCCATCGAATAAATTATTAATTGGGCAGGAAGGAGGTCATGGGTTCATTTTTTTTTAATTGAAAGAAAGGTTACCTCAGTTTTCACTCCTTAGACATGGATGTAGCTACCTTTTGTATCGTTTTTTTTTTTTTTTTTTTAAATTAGTATTCTTGGTGTGGAAAGAGTATGCCGGCCATGTGATTTGCAAATCGGGGGAAAGCTACTGTGAGCGTGTGTTCTATTTTTAATTTACACTATAGAGTGATTTTTACCCCCCAATGTCAAGTTTTTACCTTGCATGTACTGGAGTATTTATTTCATCTATTAAAATGTTATGTTTCTCAGATGGCTTTTTGCAGTTATTGTTAGGCTTCCCAGCAACTTGTTTTGCATGCTTCCTGTCACTCTGGAGAAGGACAAGGAAGTGGCTACTCCAGAGTGGGAGCTGCGACCCCAGTTCCCAATCCTCACCACTTTTCTCCTAAGGATCATCCTTTTGAGCAGCCTAGGAATCAAGAAGAGATGAATGTGTGTGCCATTCTGTTCTTTAAAGGCAGGTGACACAGATCAGTTGTGATGGACATTTCGTGTAGGTTTTTGTCTTGGTGTGAGCTTCACTGGGAAGAAATTTAGCTTCCTTTGTCTGTGCTCATCTTCCCACCATAAAGAACCCTGTGTCAGGCCGCCAAAGTCTGATTTGTATTCTGCCCGTTCTTTTGCAGATTAAAGCACTTCCTAATCCTGGGTGGGACACAGGCCTTCCCCCTGCTCAGAGGCTCTGCCTTACAGGTCTTAAAGGGCTGTGTATCAGTGAGGTGTTGAGCAGCCTATATGTAGACAGGTTATTCACATGAGATCCCCAGGACTCCAGGGAAAAAGTAGGGGGGGTCCTAAACTGTTTCCTAGAAGGCGTGTTCTGGAAAGTGTTAAGAACTTTCCGAGTCTCATAGTTGCAGGCAAAGTGCTTACCTTTGTGACCTTGATCTTAGATAGCTGTAGTTGATTGTATGTTGAAAGAATGCTTTGTTGATTGAAAATTGGAGTTAGGCTGAGGTAGTTGTCTACTCTATAGACTTAAAGTATTTGGGGGGTAGTAATAGTGGAATATATAGTTTTGCTGCACCTAGTTAAATGTTGAACATTTTCTTACTAAAGGAATAGCAAATTTATTTGGAGTTCTTGAAGCCTGGGAGGGCCAGATGGATAAAAACTCATTCATGCTTTAAATTTGTCCAGTTTACATTTTTCTTGGGATTTATTGTGCTTAAACCTTTGCCACACCCTCTGATCTGAAAAGAATTTTTTACTCCATCAGAGAGAGGAAAGCCATATTGACTGTTCTACTCACTTGAATGACTGTTTATTGCAAGGATACGAAATTAAATGTGTAAAATATCTTTAACCTATTTTAGGTTAGCCCAGGACTATTCCAGTGCTCTGAATTTGGAGTTTGAAAAAGGCTTAAAGTGGTAGGGTACATAATTCTTTAAAATGGCCAAGGAAGCAATTGTTTTTCTCTCTTGGGTCCTGGTAGATTAAGCTTTTTTTGTTTTGTTTTGTTTTTTGAGACAGGGTCTTGCTACATAGCCCAGGCTGGCCTTGAATTCACAGCAGTCTTCATGCCTCAGCCTCCTGAGTGGTGGAAAGTTTTAAGTGCAAGGACGTCAGCTTAGATTTAACTTCTAAAGTAAACGGTGAAAAATGACTTAGAGAATGTTTTATCTCACCTCCTCTCTCAATAATGTAATTTGGATCAGGTTAGGAAGATTTTGATGGTGAGGCAGTAGGGCTTATGCGCCAATGACAGCCCCACATGCACCTAGAAATTCTTACTTTATTTTTGCTAATTGGGTTTATATAAATAGGGACAGACTCTATAATCATCTGGTTCATTGAGCCTGTGCAGATCACAGAGAGTAAACTAAAAGGAGCAGATTCAAAATAAGTGCCAGAAGTTTGTAAATTTGTTACTTGATTAAGAACAAAAGAATTGTCTGTTTTTTTCCTGGACTCATTCCTTGCAGCAGTAGTTTTGGGGGCAGTTCAAGCCAAAAATAAAAAGAGAAAAAATTACTTGCTGTATCTACTTGAATGAAGTTAACCAGCTGGTCATCAAGTTAATCTTAAATCTTCTTTTTCTCTTAGCCAAATGATAGCTGCTCTCACTGTTTCAGTATAGGAAAGATCTGGGTATATAATATTAAAAACAACCCCTGTTTAAATTAATAAAATTTCAAACTTTAACAACTGCAATGTTTAACCCTAACCCCTACCCGATCCTCCTCCCATCTATGAGATAAAGTTCGAGATTCTTTTCCCCCAGCAGGTGTCTGTAATGAATTCTGCTTCTATTTTTTCCTAGCCAGTTTCAAGAAGCCAGAAGGAACATGCACACATTACTTTTGTGTGTGCATTGCTTGGCTAGGCAAGAGACTTGGACACAGGTCTTTGGCACTTTAACTTTCTTCCAGTATACCAGGTTGCTAAACTTGTTTTTTTAAAAGTGCCTGATTTTTTAAAAGCAGTATCTCTGACCTGTTTCATAATAGGGTCTAATAAGGTCAGCAGAGATTCTGGTTCCAGGAATAAAATCAGGATGGCCTTATTTCTCTCAAAATTAAACGATGGGAGAGAGAATTTAAGGTATCACTCTGGGTTCTTCTGACTTAATGTTTCATACACAGACTAAATGCATGCCATTCTGACCAGAGGTGTTAAATAAATACCATGTTCCTCAGAGCAGCCAGGAGAAAAATCATTTTGCCTCAGTACTCAACAAAAGCTATTATTTATGACAGTCTATTCAAGTAGATGGGACAGGCCAGGCTTTCAAATGTTAGACCTAACCCCCCAAAAGCACAACCCTGTCTTTCTTAGGCTGTTGTAAGTTTAACCTTAATTAATCAGTCTGGGTTGATATGGGAAATACAGTAAGTGTGTGTGTGTGTGTGTGTGTGTGTGTGTTTTCTGCCCCAACCCCTATCATCTTTATAATTCTGGAAGCATCATCTAATTGGTTACTTTATACTTTCTTTTTGAGCTAGCACAGGGATCTAAAATATTTGGCAGTTGGAAACAGCTAATTTTAACAGAAACACCTGTTTTCCCAATGAGTGTGACTATGGTAACATGCAGATCAGGCAAAAGGTTTGATAAAATGACTGCCTGAGCCTCTGCTGAACAATTAGGAGGGAAGGGAGAAGAATGTAAGAGGACTCGGGAAGAACCTGTAGACTAGTGTGCACGTCAGGGTCTGTTCCCTGTGCTGACTGCTGCCATCCAGCCACTGGAAGGACCTTGTAAAGCCATCACCAGGCTTCAGTGGGGATACACATGCTCATGTTCCCTCCAGGAAAGTTCTCTTCATTTTCTTTCTTTGTTGACATATGGGTGAAAGGAATCGGTCCATTTTGCCCAAGTAAAGTTGTACTTCAGGATTTTTCAGATGGATAAATTGTTGGCTCCCCTTACAGTGGTACAAAGCTCAAAATTAACTGTACAGACACTTTGAGAGAAGGGTGTGATACTAGCATCTATGATTGGGGTTGGTGTAATTGTTAAACCCCTGAATGTTAGAGGTTATATGGCCTGATACCTGTGTGGCTGTTTTTTTGCTTTTTTTT